GATCTGGTACAAGATAAGGCACCCGCCGCCAAAGCCTACCCGAGGCCGACACTCGTACAGCTTGAGCTTTAGAGAGGTTCAGGTTGCCCTCTGGGCTACACATTTATTTTGCGCCCGGTTACCCCCCTTGTAACCAAGGGTTGGGAGGGGTCACAGGATAGACTGAAGGAACCTGGATTGAGAAAGGAAAGTGGATGAGGACACGAGGTGCACCTTTTCAAGGCCCCGAGCCTTAAACATATTGTACCCTAGCTGTTGACACCCGGAGCCCAACCTCGTGCTGTACGGATATCACCGATGTCAGACCCCGGACTGCCAACACCCTAGGTGAGTGATTTTCGAGACCTGCCGGTAATTTATTGTAAATTACAAAAGCTGGAATTACTGCGGACTGCGAGAAGTGATAGGCTCAATTCTGTACATGTATATATGTTATTTTATAAAAATCCTAATCCATAATCCAAAGATTTACAGTTAAAGAATTGAAATAAGGAAATAAAAAAGGAAATTTTTGATGTTGGGAGGATTTAATAAATGAATTTGTTTCTGATGTTCACACAATGTTCAGACAACGGAATGTTTATGTATGTTGTTTATCTGATTTGACTTTTTCTAATGAAGCCAGAGGAATCATAAAAACTCGTTTACCACTAATCTTAAATTCACACCGCTACAACTATCTAAATAAAATCCGAATACATTCTCTATTAACGAGCACAATAAAATTGCGATCTTACGATTTGATCTTTCAACAGTGTTCGCCAAACGTTTACAGCACAAAGACACCTTCGATCGACTTAACGGCACCAATGAGGGTTGTTTGTCGACCAATAGCATCTTTTGTGTCGATATAATGAACCATCACTGGTGAAAGGAGTTTCATCGGTGACGAGTGCTCTCTTGAAAAAATATGGATATCTTCATCCTTCTTCGGATATCTTCTGAGGTCTTTAGTGTTTTAACTCCTTTGGCCATGATAAATAAATTCAAACAGGTAAAATCGAAGACAAACAATATTTTCTTCATAAAACTTCACAGGATTCGTTTTGAACAGAGAAAATTTCCAATTTAAATTTTGATAGTATTAATTGATGCTTTTATTATATTTTAATACATTTATAATCAGAAACATCCTTGGATTTTATATATAAAGTATGAGGCAAAAGGCAAAAATATTTCGTGACAGAGATCTGCATATTTTGTAGCCGGTATGCAATCGCTCGATTGCTTAAAAACGTGGAGGAATTTTGTGGACGGACTTAGGACTTGACTCAAGGTGCAATTAATAGAGTGACTAATTGCATTCCTTCAGGTTTCCAATACTACCGGACTAGTCAAGATGAAAACATAATGTTGAATAATTAAATGTATTTAATCATCGTTTTGACTCGAACATTTTGATCCAACATGAATGAACAATCGTAATTAGTCAACATTAAACATTGTTGCATTTAAAGTGAAACAAATGATAGTTATTTTATATCCAAGGTATTAATTATGGTCATGGGCAAAAGCCCCGGGGAGTGAAATAAGCTCGACTTATTAAAAAAATAAATTATAATGGACAAATCCTGAATTGTTATAACCGGCCGGGAATGGTATGGAGAGGCGAGGAAGATGGGCCCTATGCTAATACTTTGGATTAACATAATCCAAACGAAAAACCGTAATCCCCGTGGATGAGGTATTAAACGTTTATGCAGGTCATTGTCCAAAGGAAATTCCATATGCGGTTCTATGATTTTTTTATGTTTTAGGGAACGAGTCATTATTGGCAAAATATACCGAAAACTTGAAAGAATTAACACTCTGTTATATTCAGCTCTGGTTTTATTCGTATCATGACATTAATTCAAAAATTTTAGACATTTTTTTATATTCACTGAAAATAAAATCCTAACTTCCATTTATTAATTTTGTTGTGTCCTACCTTTCTCCAAGAATTTGCTTAAACATGTCTTAATTTGTTTTTTAAATTTATAAAAAGATTCTAACATTTAACGTGAAGGAGAATTGTGAATTATTCAGATCGTGCGTACTCAGGAGCGCCGGGTGGCTGTTATCCTTGGGCTGTAAGGTTCTTCAGGATCTTTTCTTCCTGTCAGCGCTTTTCTTAATACGTCCACTCTTCTTTTTCTTGGATGAATAAAACGGCTATTACATGCAACATATGGCCTAGTTTTCTCGGTGAACGTCGTTTTCGAGCTCTCATTTTAAACTCGTCCTTACTTTTTCATCCATGGGATATTATCACCACTTTGTACACTTTACATTCATTAGTGTAAAATGTACGGTGGAAGAGACATCGCTGAACGCGAAATAACACCTTGCTATTCTTGTCGAGCAGTCTAACTAAAAAAATTATTTCAATTGATTGATTTTATTTTCGTTTTTCTACAACTAACTAACATTTTTTGTAGAAACCTGCAACAGGAATAAAACTAAAATGGAGAGACAGTCATAGAGAGACACTCCAAGAGGCGATGGTATGTTTGAATGTAATCAAAACTTCCAAATAAACCTAGGTACCAAAAAAGAATGGAAACGAGAGGAAAACACCTCCTTTAAGAATAGCGCCATCTTTTGGAACACTAATGGAGCTAAAGCACAAGAAGGAACAGGGTTAGGAGTTCCTGGAACCAAATGGTCAGAACCCATGGGAGAACACACTAGTGTCTTCCAAGCTGAAGTCCATGCGATCGAGAGATGTACTCGATTCAAATTGACTAATGGGTACAAAAACAACAACTAAGCTCAGATATCATTAGTTTGTTGAACTGCAAAACCAAATTAAACATATTAGGTACTCAGAACAAAGTCAGCCTCTGATTGGTTCCAGGACATGCGGGAGTAGAAGGCAGGACGCTTGCAAGAAAAGGGGCTGCTATAACGCTTATTGAACCCGGACCCTTCTATGGCATAGGAGCCCACATTCAATAAGCATCTCAAACAGAAGGATAAAAAAATGAGAAACAATGGAACTCATTGGGCACAAACAATCCAAGAACCTTCTAACAAATTTCGGAAGGAAAGAAGTAATAGAATGCATCAAAGGAAGCAGAAAAAACTGCGAATCCTAACCGGATTCTTAACAGGACACTGCAGGCTAAATGGACGTTTAAAGAAGATTGGAATAATCCAAGACGGCACATGCAGATTCTGCAAAGAGGCAGAGGAGACACCAACACACCTATTAACAAATTTTGGTGCTACACAAGCCCGGAGAAGAAGTGCTTTGGGATGTACAATGGCTCAACCACTGAAACCGGGCTACTAATCCAGCTCTTAAGGCTCACCAGTGTGATAAAGGCACAGAACGGTGGATACAAAAGCTATTTGGTTCCAGGAACGAATGAACCAATGGGAAAACACACCAGTGTCCATGCAATCGAGAGATATACATCTACAACTAACATTTTTCCACTCTTTTAAATGGAGTGATTTTTTTAATGTTTTTCGGAAAAGTAACTGCTTCATTTTTCTTCTCTACCCGGCTGCAGAAACAACTCAACGACCTGCCAAGACCTTATGCTTCAAGCGTTATCATGTTTTAGTGCAACTTCATCACAAAAATGCTACTCTCTTTAACGATCAGCTAAATTCGTTTAGTTTTCATTTAAGAACACCTTACAGAAAAGTAGGATTTTTTTCTTGCTATTTTTGGCAAAAGTTTCGTTATACTGAAATTTCATGATTGTTTGGTCCTTTTTTTGATCGGGAAGCATTTACCTTATTCCCGACAATAACAAGATCAGTCTAAACAGAATCCCCGTCGCAGAAGACCGTGGATAATTTAGTCAGAGTCTGTAGATACAAGGAGGAATATAGGATCCGGATGACGCATAATTGAAGAAGACCAGCCGTCCTAGAAGCCCTCGCGGCCTCAACGTCATAAAGGTCGTATGACGTCCTCCGGAGGATCGTACGACGCGTCATCGCAGTCTTTTTTTAGAACGCATCACGATTCTAATATCTCAAACTCTGAAAATAGATATTACACGCCCTTACATCCGATGTTGTCTGTGTTGCGTCATTGCCGTCCCACACAAGTCGAATTCGCCGGGATGTAAGGATACTTAATTAATAAAATTTTATGCCGTTGGATTCGTTCGTTCTCGCTGGTTTTCCAGTTTACTTTTTCTTATGTTGACATTAGAAAAATATTCTGATTAAACAATCGTCGTTTTACGATTGAGAACTTAACATAGCCTCCTATTGGTTCTGTGCGGTGACCTCCACTAAATTGGTCAATATTAAATTACTCATAAATGAAAATTCTTTTACAAAATACAGGTTCAACAGCAAATATTAATTTACAAATAATTAGTCAGTCTGATGTGTTTTTACGTTAATAAATGTGTTTTGTGTATTTTAAATTGTTTTCAGTTTAAACTATCGAAATTCTTATTTCCTTCTCGAAAACAAGCACAAAGTTATTCAGAAAACCAAACCGATATTTGCTTATGCTAATCCGTTTATGGACGATTGATTAAATGGACGACTGTTCTGTTTTAATGATCATTATAGGATCCGTATAACTTGGACGTAATGAAAACTTTAATGGTAGCACCTTTGGGCGATATAATGCTGCTAATTGTACCCTGGGGGAAAGAATTATACAGGTGTCCGTCGCCTGAGGAACTGCAGCCATCCCTAATCGACAACAGCCATCTACATAAACGGTACAATAATTGCCACTAATAAATATCTATTTGGGATCCAAAGACCAACACCCAAATCGACCTGGCCGTTCTTCCTAACTTGTACTATCTTCCAGTTCTTTGTTTTCTTATGAAATCGCCGTCAATGTCTTCAATAATAACAATTTCAGCTTAAAAATGTTTTTTCATTTTCTGCTATTATTTATCTTTTAGTGGTGAAGTACTTTTCATGAAAAGAACAGAATTGCTAATTTAAGCTGTTGTAAAATAAGTTCATGAACAAACAACGATTTTTAAAAAATCGTTAAATTTGTGTTTAAATTTTCTCAGCTGTTTTCCCCCAACTGAGATTAGTTCGTTTGATTTGTTTGTTGTTAGTCTTGTCTCTTAGTTTTAAGCCTAGAATGGTGACTTACGCACCGAGTGACATTTCGTTTGTCGTCGATTCCATGGCCTCGGACCACAGCATATTAAAAGGCGCGAAAAAAGGCCTTCTGAAGAAAGTAGGTATCCAGCCGGCTGTAAAAGTGGAATCGACGGAAAAGATAGACGAACGGCCGAAGAAAGGCCTGCAATGGAACATTTCGCCGATGACGTGGACCCAAGAGTTGAGGCAGATGAGAGAAGAGAAGCTTAGGAGGCGGGCCGAAGCTCCGGGAAGCACGATGTTGTTAAGCATACCGAAAGACAGATTCCACCATTGGCATTTCCGGTACGAAGACATGAGCTATCATCCTTACGGATTGGATCTGTCCCATATGAAAGTTCAAGATATCCGAGTTATCGTGAGTTTGAAGCATCTCTCCATGTTAGACCTGTCGTACAACGACATGAAAAACGATTCCCTTGCAATTTTAGAAGAATTGAAGTACCTCAATTACATCAATTTAGACCACAACCAGTTAATATCAATGGATATCCCTGGTTCTTCGAATATAAGGTGGTTTTCGATGAGAAATAACGACATGGTGTGGATTGAACCGTTTACCATGCCGATGCTCGAATACATCCATCTCGACAACAACTATATCAGAAATCTGGAAAACTTCGATATAGAAAACACCCCTCTCATCCGGTTGCTGAGCGTGAAAGGTAACCGATTGATCGTCATAAAAGACAGTAAACTGTCTCCGAGCCTCAGGTACCTCTACTTGGGGAACAACAAGATACGGAACTGCGAAGGGCTCAATCACTTGGTCAATCTGAGAGTGCTGCATCTGAGATCCAACAAAATAAAAAAAGTCAAAACCATCACGAGTGAATTCAGAAACCTCTGCTACCTCAATCTGAGAGACAATTATATTGCGAACGTAAGGCAATTCAGAAAATTGAAACCTCTGCCTAATCTGAGAATTTTAGTCACGACGGGCTGCCCTTTTGAAAAAGACAATCCGGAAAAGGCTCGGCTCGGCGTTATCTACTACCTTCCGAATTTGAAGAGGCTCAACAAGAAGGACGTGACCGACAGCGAGCGGGAAACGTCGAAAAGCCTCAGCGACGAGCTCGATCCGGAAGGCGACTCCAGCGAAGACGACGTCCCTGAAGACGCTGTCGAGTACACCGACCACCCGATCGATCCGGACGAGGAGAAAGCCCTGAAAAACACAGCCGAAGAAAGCACCCCTCAGCCACCGCCACCGTCTACCCCTACAGAAACGGCCTCCTCGACTGGAGAATCACAGTCATTCACTGGTTCGACACCATAATAAACGACTATCACAAGAGCAAGAACAAAACAAAATTTGTAGATTTGTTATTAAGGTCACTAAAGAAACATTTGCGTCCATCAGTTAAAACTATTCTGCAGGTTATTTGCCGGTAGAACTGATGAAAAGGAACCTTTTCCGCTATGTGCATATTGGACTATAACTATAATATTTGGAACTACTCCAAATATTATAACTAAAATTCCAAGAGGTGGAATCTGTAACGAAGAGGTACAGTATTTGTACTACAATAGGATACAGGTAGATCTGCTGTTGAGGTGAACAATGGATCGTTTTCGCTCCGTCCATGGGTTCTCCTCCACTTATTGGTTACAGCCCCCTACTAAGTTTCTTGCTTATCCATAGTTGAATTTACTCATCAGATGGTGAGATGCGGTCTGGTGTGACGTAGGTTTTAGAAAAACATTTTCTTTATCGTGTCAACGTTTCGATCTTTATTGAGATCACCTTCAGGCTCAAAGTGTTTATTTTCCGTGTAGATGTGTTCTTGTGAGTAGTGGGCACTCGCATCGGGGGCGTGCATATTTCAACAGGGAGGACATTTCGAATATTGTAATATTTTCATGAGGTTTTTTTCTTCCTTTTTATAAGAAATTGAAGTTTGAGTTTTAAGAAATGGAAATTTGTTTCGTAAGTAAATTTTTAACCAAGGTAAGAAAGGACTTGTCTTAACAAGAGTCTGGAAACGAAAAATAAACAGCGTTAGTTCCTACATTCCTCTACATTTGCTATTTAATCTTTTTATTCCCAGATAGCAATAGTTATGATTAATTTTTAACTGTGGCTGGTCCCAACTCCGGTTGAAAAAGGAAGTGATATTTGAACTTCAACCAAGTTATTTCGGTAAATAAGTCTTGGGTAAGATCAGGTATTGGTCGAGAAGAAATTTACGGGGTTTGGCAAGAAGTTTAGTAAGCTTTCAGACTTTTCTCTCTACTTTGGCTGATTTTCCACTCCTCTTCAAAATATTTGCGGTAGAAGGCAAAATTAAGTGGTTTCGACCAACGCACTAGAACAGCATTCCGGCTATTTTCAAAAAATCAAATCTCCGGTTTTATTAGGCCGATTTTAATAACTCAGTGATCATTTTTCTCTCCAAAAATCTAGTTTCATTTGTTTTCAGGGTTGTCATTTAAAATTAAGAATTTGAATTCGACTTGTCGAATCGAGGTGGAAAATGAAGGGGAGTCTCAATTCATACATTTCTCCTATCTAGAACCGCAAAGGAAAAAAATGGGGTGGGCGCATTAGCTTGGACACCTTGTATAGTGTTTCGAGGTACCATGTAACACTTTTTTTTCCGCAACAGCGGAGGGTAAATCGACCCTCGGGGTGCCGGTGTTTTTTAAAACAAACCCATTTGTATGTCGGGTTTGAATGCAAGGCCGCTGGGTTCGAACCCAGGACCTTTACTTTACAGTGATGAGCGCCGTGACAACGCCTAAACCGTTGCGGCTACCGACGCCCCTATGTATCTCTTTTTTTTCCGCGCTCCTTCTTTCAGGCTCGTATGTTGATCCTCCTACGCCTAAATTTATAATAATTATACCCTTTATCACCCTTGGAGCCCGTTGCACCAAACTGAACCGAGTTCAACTCAAAAATTTGCGTTTTTTCAATTTGTCTGTGAACCGAGTGCAAACGTTCATCCCGGTTCAACTTTGAACGGCCGTCGAACGTGGGTTAAACGGAGTTCAAAGTTGAACAACGTCCATTTCATATGACCTGTATTTTGTTAAAGGCGTGTTCGCGCGATTTAAATTATGTTTATTTTTTTTTCAATTAATTAAGGTTTTTAGTTGAGATAAAAAAGTGTCACAAGCGGGATTCGAACCCACGACCTTCGGCTAAATACGAAGCTGCTCTACCGCTTGAGCTATCGTGACTTCGATCCGCTCGGACACTAACTTCCCTTCTCAACCCCACCATTTGAATTTTTCCTCCTTTTTACATTTTTTCAAATGTCTATCATGTTTATGTTCACATGTTTCAATAAAAACATACCAACTTTTTGATTTGAAAACCATTGTTCTTTCTTATACATAGTTCTAATCGTCTTAACCCTGGATTGATACCGTGTGTTGAAAAATACCTCGCCGCTTTGATTTATGGCGTGTTTTTTATTGGGCTGTTGCAAAAAAAATTGTTGCATTTGTATTTTTTTTTTACGAGGGTTCGCAACAGCAGAGGTGTTGTTCAACCCTCAGGGTGCCGGTGTTTTTGAAAAAAAGCCCATTTGTAAGTATGTCGGGTTCGAATGCAGGGCCGCTGGATTCGAACCGGGGACCTTTACCTTACAGTGATCAGCGCCGTGTCAAAGACTAAACCTTGCGGCCACCGACGCCCCTATCTCTTATTATTAGTACATGTATTAATTATATAATTAATATATTGTATATTGTAGTTAGTATATATTAATTATGATTCTTAACATGCGGCTCTGAATAATTTGCACCCTTTAAATTTGTATACGGGAAGTAGTGTCCCAATCTTCACATCCGGTAGTCCATGACTTGCCCTAGCCTGTCCTTCAACCAGCTAAAGCCTGAGTAAGGATTTAAGTTAATTTCTCATACTGTCTTGGCAAAGATTTTAGTGAACTGGCGCGATCAGTGTATATAGGCGTGTATACGGGTGGGGTGGTGGATGGTAGAAAAATCAGTTCAATCGTACAACCGAGTATTCTAGTCGTTTTAAGTTCAATTGAAATTTACAAATAAAAAAATTAATTACTTTATATGGTACCTTAATTTTTAATTAGGCAGTTTATATGAGAACCCAAATTTTTCGTCTAATTTCAATCCTAGGTACTTGTTGACGGTTTTTCGATAAGTTGTTTATTATCACGCATGAAAATCAATAGGTACTTATAACGATGAGCTGGGTTATCGACCTGCTGGAAACATGAAGTTTTTTCGGAGGATCTACGGAAGAGGTCAACACAGAGAAAAACTTCCTTTCAGTTTTCGCCGAGCTTTCGACAGTTTTTATACTGTCATCTTCAGGGCCTGTTTTATTATCATATAAAAAAACAATTAAAAACATGAAAAAACAAATTGCCAGTACTTCTGTTCCCAAAACACCATGACTTTTTATTTCCCCATTAAGGTTTAAGTAAGAAATTTCAATTTTTGTGCAATTTGTTTTTTCATGTTTTTAATTGTTGTTTTTTATATGATAATAAAACAGGCCCTGAAGATGACAGTATAAAAACTGTCGAAAGCTCGGCGAAAACCGAAAGGAAGTTTTTCTCTGTGTTGACCTCTTCCGTAGATCCTCCGAGAAGACGTACTTGTTATAAGTCAATTTAATTTTTATTTAATGTAGAAATTGTGCTATAAAATATGTGAAATCTAATATTGCGTCAGTAAACTCTCCTGAAATTAGATTAGTGTTAGTAACAATATACAGGATGAACTAAACGACTGATGATGTTCCAATGCCAAAACGCTCATGACCAGATTCATCGCTTCTTTTACCTCAACTCACAACTTTCAAATATGTTAATTAAATTGCTGGTACATCATGTAGGAACAGTAGGGTAAGGGTGATTTTAACTGAAATTCCCTTTTACCTCGTGATAACTTTACTATAGGACCTAACCATTGTATCCGTTCAACTGCTAAAGTTTTATGAACTGATATGATTTGTTTGCTTCATGTTGTCTCTAAATACATGAAACGAGAAATGGGAAGATCACGTTTCACCCTTGATTGGCTCTGGTTTAAGCCGTCGCTATTGATTTGCTAACGGTGGCCACCTTTTCTGGGCCACTTGAGAATCGCGCTGAAAATGAGAAGGTTTAATGATGATGATGAATGAATGGTATTGTTTGATCGGTGTAGGACGCCGTTACAAAGGCCGCATTAACCCAGTTAAGGAATAAATTCCCGGCAAATGACGAGTCCCTCGCCCGTTACTCCCTAAAGGTTAGCCGTCCGGGCTTGAAAAGCAGTTAACCGATCTGGGTCGAACGTCTCTCGCCAAAAGGAATGAATATTCGACTATCAAAAATATTTGCTTAGCCGGTCAATTGGAATTCGGGAGACCTGCGTAGATCTCTTTGCTCGAGCCGGCCGTGAACAAGGAGTAATGTAATCATTAATGGTAACGAAAGAACACCATCAACGCCAAATCTGAAAAGTAAAGACCATATTATCTAATTGTATTTTTTTTTTTTTTATTAACAATATTTGGTGGGATCAGATTAAGAAACTTTTCCGGAGAAACTCTTGACGGTAAAGGTACAATCCATCCTTCCTGTTGTGAAAATCAAAGAGCTCCTCCACTTTTGTACCGCCATGGTGCCCATTGCCTACTGTCTCCTGCAAATCATTTTTTTCCAGCATGAAATTGAAATATATGATACTGAACCATTGGTATATGGTACCATCCATTGCAAGCCCGTTACTTCCTTGCATCCACCCAAAACACTCTTTTGAAGCAGACATAATTAAATTATTTATCTAATCATTTGTAGTTTATTCTCTCGAAACTTTTTCAACCAATTCCAACGGCACCAATAAAAATGTACATGCTTTACAAATTCTGTGCGGTGATTAGTGACCGTTAATCGATAATTATTCAGAAATCGTGAAATGCGATCTGGTATGATGAAGGTTTCAGAAAAACATGTTCTTTATCGTGCCAACGTTTCGATCTTTATTGGCCGAATCATTACCAACACATTGTTTCCCTCCGTCGGCTCTTTTCACCTCAAAGAAGCCGACGCCTTATACAAAAATGTCTTTTCTATACCGACTTCCTTCCCCACCCCTTCAAAATCCAACATATATAAACATAAAAACATTAAAATCTCTCTGGCACTCTCAACACGACACGCAAGAATGGCACAATTACACAGAAGACAAACACTTTGAGTGAGTAGAAATACTTTGATTGAATATAAAAAATATATTTTGCATTGTATAAATTCACTTTTCCACATCCTAAATGTATTTGTTAAATGTAAACAATGTTTGTAAATCCCAGGCCCTGAAGATGATCTCAATAA